AGAGGAAAGTAGGATCCACCATATCACCAATCCGTAATTGCTACAAAGGGAATATGCCCCGGACAGAAAGGGGTTTTGCTGTTATACTGTATTGCCAAACACTAACAAATGTTCCGCTGCACTCCCTGTCAAATACCTCACATTTGTAAGGCTATCAGAACAAGTCAGTGAGCAGAGGACTGCTGCATACGAAAACGGTCTACACCGGCTTCATTTAGAGCCATGGATTAATGAGGAAACGAACTCTTCTAGAGCTCAGGCAAAGGGTCGAGCCTCGTGCTGAGTGTGTTATCTGTGATTGCTGCATAATACGCAGTTATTCGTTCTTAGACCTCTGAAAATCTTAAGGGAGGAAGACAGTGGTTACCAAAGATTTTTCCAACCAGGGGGAATAAATGTGGCAACTGGAGACAGCAGAATATGGGTATTAAATAAAATAATGTGTCTAAAAGATGCCATTGTTTAGAAATTAGCCCCTTGGACTGACAGGTAATTAACTTCTGCCACTAGTTTAATATCTTGTGTGGACCTGGATACAGGAAACCATACATGGGTGGTAATTTTTTTCCCTCCAATCTCAAAGGAAACGTAACTGGGTATGAACTAGTGGCACAACTCATATATCAGTAGTCTGTAGCAGGTCTACATAAATCCTTTTCTTTAAAGTTATTTAACTGTTTTGAAAATGGTTTCAACAGAAGTAATTCCAATTGCACCAGAAAGGAAACCAGAGTTTTAAAGAAAAATATACTCTCTTTGCTGAGCAAGGCAAACATATCAGTATGCAGAGAAACAAACCAGTCTCTTGTGTTTTATTTCCTTAGCAAATCCACCGAAAAACTTACTTTATGTCTTTAAAAGGATGACAGACAAAGAATTCTGTGACCACTAAAAGTTAATACCTACAACTGGTTTGTAGACACTTTAAAAGGGTGGGTACTATTTTTTAAATTTCACTGTTTTTCACAGTTTCTCATTTGTACATACTATAAACACAATACATATTTGTTGTGTGTGTGTGTTTTTTAGACTGATCAAAAACATATTCTGTGGGGAAGGATTTTCCATTTAAAGAATTAGATAACCTGCTATTTCCTCACATGCTTCTATGCATAAACCTAGACATCGTATCACAAACCTAGTCCTTTTCATAGCCAAGCCCTTCACAGAATAATATTTTTCCAATAAGCTGGTAGTGGCACTTTTGGTCGTGGTGTTTCTTTTTTGACTCTTCTGAGAATTAATGTTTAAAATAAACACCCTTATAGCTGTGAAAGACGAGAACTTGTTACTATTTAAAGCTGACTAATTCAAAGTCATTTGGTAAAACTGCTTTTAGTTTTAAGAACTAGAAGATTTAAGTGCACAAACTAGATGGCTGTAATGAAGGCACAATTGTTATCTATAGTCAGTATAGCTAATTATCAATGAATACAGACCTTGATCCATTACTTCCGTTGGGTCCATGGATTGAGAAGCAAGAATCTATTTGTTATTAGTCTTATTTCCTCCAAGGTCTTCACACAACTCACTCCCTTAACTCCTTTAAGTTTTTGCTCACATGTCATCTCAGTGTGGCCTTGATGGGCCTTTTCACTCTGTTTTAAATTGAGACTCTCCCACTCTTGACCAGAATGCCTCATCTCTTTCCTATTTTGTATTCTCCCCTATAGCACTTGTCTGACACAGTATATATTTTGTTTTTTTTTTTTTTTTATGCGTTTGTGGTTTCTCTCCACTGGAATGGAAGCTCCATGAGCACAGAGATTATTTTGTCTGTCTTGTTCCCTGGTGTGTGCCCAGCACCTGGCACATAGTAAGTGCTCAGTCAATATTTGTTAGAATCTAAGGCAACGTTTGTTTTGAAGATTTCTGCTTAAGTATGTTCCCAATGACCTTGATGGTTTAAAAGCAATTTTGCATTTGTTATTTTACTTAGTTATTCTTACAATAACAATGTGTTTTAAGGAAGGTTTATTATCCCACTCCAGCGGATCAGAAATGGGGGCTCAGAGAGTTCCTATGAATTGGATAAAACTCAGGGGCCAGCAAGTGGTGGACGCCAGCCTGGAACAAGATCAAATACTTCCCTCAGGGTCCTGCTCTCACCCAAGCTGTGAATCTTTCTGGCTGGAGGAATTAACACTTCATATTAAGCATTGCCGGCCAGGTCTCAAAGCAGTGGATTCCAGAATGAAAATTAGAACAGAATGTGGTTGTAGCATATATATACCTGATAAATAAAATAATCCATTATGTACAGCTCTCAAGGGTGTGAAACATAACTTCTCAGCTACAACTTGTATTTGCTCACCTCCTGAATGTGGAAGAACAATCCATGTTGAGGCCATGCAAGTCCACCTCTGCAAAGCCTCTTTACCTTGCAACATATCATTGCAGCTGCTTGTATTTCAGCCCTTTCTCCGTAGCATTTCTATTTCACATCATGCTGTGATTCAGGAGGCAGTTTGCGTAGTGGTTAAAGATCACAGACCCCAAAACAGGCAGAGCCAGACAGAACTTGAAGCGGGATGTGGTTGCAATTCCTTCGGGGGAAATTATTCTGTCTCCTCATCTGTAAAACTGGACGAATGGTACTAAGTTCTGATAAATAAATTAGATTATACAAGTGATGCACTCATCACTGCCTTAAGTATTATTGAATATCTCCTGTATCCCTTCTTAGTAAATTGTAAGATTATAGAAGGAAATGCACTTACTGGCTTTATTAGTTTTCTAGTGTTGCCATAACAAAATACCACAAACTGGCTATTTAAACAACAGAAATGTAATGCCTCACAGTTCTGTAGGCTAGGATCTGAGATCAAGAAGTCTGTGGGCTTGGTTCCTTCTGAGGACTGTGAGGAAGAATCTGTTCTCCTAACTTCCGGTGGTTTTCTGGCACTCTTTGGTGTTCCTTGGCTTGTAAAAGCATCAGGCTGATCTTTGCCTTCGTCTCCACATGGTGTTCTTCCTATGCGTGTGCGTGTCTGCGTCCAATTTTCCCTTTTTATAATGGCACCAGTCATATTGGATTAGGTGCCCTACTCCATTATAACCTCATTTGAACTAATTATATCTGCAGTGACCCTATTTTCAAATAAGGCCACATTCTGAGGTACTGGGGTTTATTACTTCAACATATGAATTTTGGGGACACAGTTCAACCTATAGTTCTGGCCTTATTACCTTGGTTTTTGTTGTATTTGCCCTGTACTTAATAAGTGTCAGGGTATGGCTGCTGAATCTGTTAAAGAAATGTCTCCAGAAGGTTCAGAAATGAAGCCACTTACCAGCAGCTGAGAGGCCTTTTGAAAACTGCCTCTTCATCCAAGGATTACTGAAAGAGGAAACCTCTCCAGCTAGATCTTCACTAGACTTTGTGTTTAGTCCTTGGGTCGGGAAGATACATCATGTCGAGATGGATATTTTGATCAGGACTTTCCAAATGGATTTTTGTGTGTGTGTATGATGAGATAGCATTAATATCTTAACATATGGATAAGGACATAGATATGCTATTTGTAACTTAACTTTTTAAAGATTTATTTGTTTTAAAGTCTGGGTAACAGTGTTCATTTCAAAATTTTAAGTGCGACGTTTCATCTAATAAATGTGACCTTAGTGTTTGTGTGAATAGTAAATGACAGTTCTTTAAAATGTTTTACTTCCTTTCTTATATATATATATATAGTGTGGTTATAAAGTAGTGAGCTTGGCTCCACAGTCTACCTGCATGCCTATAGAGTATAATATTTCAATTAAAATTCGTATTTTTAAAATTCTAATATCTAAATTGCAATGCTATGCTTTACATATCTATATTTTTAAAATTGATATTCCTTCCACAAATCACTTGCTTAATATTAGTTAGAATTTTGTAAGTTGTTTTTCAGGATATATTTATTTATTTGAGCATTTAAGTATGCATTTATAATGTATTCTAAGCGATTGGTGCTGAAATTTTGAGTTGATGAATCTCAGGATTTATTGTGATGGAAATGGGACTATCCACAGAGCTTGGGATTTTATAGAAGGTCTGTAAATATTTATTGAATGAGCAAATATATGGGGTAGAGAGAGAAGCAAAGTCATTTCTTTTCAACTGTATTTGAACCAATGAAATCGATAACCTACATGGAGTACAATACCATATTTAAAGACTGAAAGCAAATTTTATTTTTTATATCATTTTATTTTCTATAATTTGGATTTTCTTGTGACACCTTGACTCTCCCCTAAACCTTCTGCATTGTGCCTGATGCTTTCAAACACTCTATAATGGAAGGGGCCTCTAGGAAAGGCAAGTTGAGAGAAGAGGAAAAATGAGCATACATTTGCATAGGGCAGGAAGGGCACTGTAACATCTGGCCGGGGGAGCCAACTCAGTCGACTTGTTAGTCTCATTAAATTCACATTAATGCATGAACTGCTCTGAATGTGTAAATACCATTTTCAGTTGTTTTCTCCCAGACCAATGGCATTGACTTTGGGGCCCTTCCCTTGGTTGTTTACTTGCCAGTGGCATTTGACCTGGGGTCAGACCTGTATTTAACCCTTTCCTGTAGGTCAAAAACAAATTAATTTGGTGAGAATTAAATTGGAAATGAGTCATCTGTACAACAGGTGTCCCCTGTGGAAAATGTGCTCCAGGTGCAAACATTTTAAAATCTATTCCTGGGCATCTTCGAAGAAGCTTCAGAGGTCAGGGAGGCAATTCCAAGACATCCCACATGGTAAGGGCCTGGAGCTGGATGTACAGGTGCCCATTCGGTGTGGTTTTCTCAACAGCTTGGGGAAATTTTCAAAGAGGCCCCTTTTGGAGATAATTTATTCATAAATTCATGAACATTTATCTTGGACATTCATTGTGGACTGATTTACTTAGATGTTGCCCTAAATGATTGGAACTTTACCCTTTACCCCTACCTCCCACTATCAACCAAAGACTTTGATTTGGAGGAAAGAAAATATTGTATTTTTCTCTTTCTTTTTTCTAGAGGATGAGGAAGATGAGGAAATGGTGGAACCTAAAGTTGGCCAGGACTCAGAACTGGAAAATCAGGACAAAAAACAGGAAGTGAAGGAAGGTATGGTATGGAAAATAAATTGAGTAATCATCTTACTGTTTTGTTTGCCTTTACTGATATAAGAGACTATAGAGCTAAGTAAAAATTGAATTTGCATCCCCTATATGGAAGATTTTCTGTGATTGTACAATACATTACATTTAGCAACATAAACTGTAATCTCCAAAGCAAGAGTCATTTATTTCTTGATTGATAAAGGCAAATAAAGTGCAAAACGTCCACAATTTCAGTAACAATTCTAGTCACAATTCCAGTAACACTTGTTACGAATTGCCATGTTATTTTGTTCACAGAACCATATATTCCCAATGATAACAGTAAAGCAAAGGACTAGATATAATTATTTTGTCAATAAATTCTAAAGTGTTTTCATGTGATCTACATAGAAACATTAATAGTGATCAACGCTAGTAACTCTGCTATTAAATTTTTTCTTCTGCAACTCTGCCTGTGTAAGGAGGAACAACCTCTTACATGTTCTGGTGATAATATTAACTAACATTTATTAAGGGCTCACTATGCCCTTGGCTCTCTTCTAAGCACTCCACAGATACTACTCACTCATTAAAACATTATTTTGAAGCAGATACTATTATTACCTCTATTTTATAGGCAGAGAACTAGGAAGAGAGAGATCTAAAAATTTATCCAAGGATACATAATGTATGAGTACATGAGCCAAAATTTAGAGTTAAATCCAAAGTGTACATTTTACCCTGTTGCCCTCCTCATGATAGCACTGTACCTATAAGAAGAAAGAAAGAAAAGAGAAAAAAAAAAAAGGAGGGACAGGAAGTACTGCAGGTGACATTTCCTTACAAACTCAACCTTGTATTACCTTGAGATTCTCAGCCCATGGAGACAGAAGAGAATTTTGAACTTGTCTTACTTGCTGGCAAATGGAGAGTAGGACCTGAGAACTGAATGTAGATTAAAAATGTTCTTCCATATTTCCTACTGAGTGTCCCAAGTATAGATCAATATAACTCTGACTCGAAGCTCATTTGATTTGTAAATTTTAAAGATGGTTGTGGCTCTGGCACAGTGTGGCAGATGTTCAGCACTGGGGACTTTTGTAGGAATTGATACATACTGATCCCAAGTCCTCACTTCAACATCTTGTGCTCTCATGAGAAAATTAGAGTAGCCCAAATACCTATTACAAATTACATCCATATCATATGGAGTTAAATGAGACAATTTTTTTTTTTTTTTTTTTTTTTTTTTTTTGAGGCAGTCTCGCTCTGTCCCAGGCTATAGTGCAGTGACGTGATCTCAGCTCACTGCAACTTCCACCTCCCAGGTTCAAGTTATTCACCTGCCTTAGCATCCCGAGTAGCTGAGATTACAAGTGCGTGCCACCACGCCTGGCTAATTTTTGTATTTGTAGTAGAGACGGGGTTTCACCGTACTGGCCAGGCTGGTCTCAAACTCCTGACCTCATGAACCACCTGCCTCAGCCTCCCAAAGTGCTGGGATTACAGGTGTGAGCCACCGCGCCCAGCCACAATTGTAGAAAATTATTAAAAATCACTTCATATTGAGGCTCATTTGAAGTGTGTCTGAGTGTGGGTGTTTTAGTTTTGGTTTGTTTTTTGCAATCTCAGGTATCTAAAAGCCAGTGCGAGATAATAATGAAAAAGCATAGCCTCTGGAGCCACACTACCTGGAATCAAATCTTGTCTCTGTAGATTATTAGCTGAGTGATCACTACAGACTAAGTTAGTTTAACCTTTTTTTGCCTCAGTTTCCCCATCTGGCAAACAGGTTTTTAAAAAACTCAACAGGGCTAGTATGGAACAATACTTGGCACAAAGTAAGGGCTGTATAAAAGTTTGCTAAATTATCATTAGTAGTCTTGCCTTGCAGTGCCTGGGTCTATAACTGGTTTCTACCCTGGTGGGATGGATGCCCTTGGGAGCCCCAGCTCTCTGTGCTTAGGTTTGCCATAGCCCATAGTTTTGAAATAAGAACATGGTTACAGGGGCCCCAGCTAGTACATTTAAAAAATGTGAAACTATCAATAGAGATACAAGCAAAGTCCTCTAAACTCGTTGGAGAACTATCATAAAAGGTCTTCTTTCTGTTACTGTGCTAGGTCTCAGACATTGAGAAGTTCAATCGCTGTCAAGTTCTAGGGTGTGACTGAGGTTTAGGAGAAGATTCAGCATTTTAACAGTGGCATTCACAGAAGACACAAGGCTTACTCTTTCTGAGAGTCTAAATGAATTTGATCAAAGAGATCTCACATTTAAACTTATACTAAAAACATCTTTTTAAAAAAAGTTGGTGAATAGAATATCATGATTACAGGTGTAGTGAGGTACAAAATAAGTCAGGATCTATTAAAGTACTCCTTTACCCTTTGCAAAATATTCTTAAAATATACCTGGTGATAAGGAGCTGGGGTATATTTTGTGTGTCTTGGCGTGGATTCCCCGTCACCACCACCCCAGCCCCAATCTCCAAATCGTCTTCTCCAGCAAAGCAAAGCAACCTCCTTCTTAAGTTCCAAGTGAAAACACCCTTCAGTTTTAACTGTTACTCATGCTTCATGGAATTGATTAAAGTCATGTTAAAAGTCAAAAAGAAGTTTGAAAGAACATTTCCTGTTCCTGCTGCACTGTGTGCCTTATTCTCCATTAATGGCTCTTCTGCAAATTAACACATAATGGGTTAAAAGCATGTTTATGTTGGCATCAAACTCTGGCTTTTTTTTAAAGCAAGACAGTATTTTGCAAACTTTTGAAAGAATCTCTAGCAGATATAATCGTGGCGCCATTCACACGACTGCATAGTAGTTAGGGCTGTGTCAGCACTTCCATTATGAACCCTGCGTTTCAGGGATTTATTACTCAGCCATAAAAATTTGCTCTGGGCTGAAACTTGACATACACAGTTTCAAACCAGGGAACACATTTTTGAGAAATCTGGCTTTTTTTTTTTTTTTTTTTTTTTTGAGTGAAAAGGAAGAAAAAAGTGTTGAGGGGGACATGGGGAAAACAATCAGTACTCACTAACTTTTGACATTTTTGCCCGTGTGACATCAAAGTGCATTAAACAGTAAAGAAATGCAGTCTTGATTTATTACTGTTTCACTTTTTTCTGCCATAGAGTAGGAAAAAAGCAGGTATATTTTAGCTTGTAATCAAAGTTTAGAAAACTTCCATATGTCAGTGTCCTCATGTCTTCATGTTTAGAAATTCAAAACAACACAACTGGGAACCTAACTTTTTTGTAAATACGAAATCAACTCATAAACCTCACATTGACTTCACAGAAAGATATCCTTCGCTTTTAGTTTGGTTTGGTTTTCTTGCTGCTGTTTATGAACTGATTTCACTGTAAAATTCCCATGAGAGCCACTGTCCTTATTTAATCTAATGTTTTTCCTGGCTACCTGGGTTTATTTATTTTTTATCTCTTAGAGATTCTTGAAAAATATTTTTGAATAATTTTTATATTGAAATTTAAAGCAACATTGCTGAAACAAGTCAAGACATACTGGTGGTAGATATTTTTAAAATAACTTTTAACATAGAAATGAGATACTAAAATCTCAATAGAAGTTGTGAACTTCATTATAAACTGTACATTTGTATAGAGGGAAAAAATCACAAGAAGGCTAGAACCCAGAAGATATAGTTTAAAGTAGTATAAATTAATTAAAGACAAACTGACAAAGTATACATTGAGGATAGCAGGAAAGGTCAAGAAAACACAGCAAATGAGATACAGTCATGCTTGAAAGATACATTTAAAAGTATTTTCATATATAAAAATAAGAAAAATTAACATTTCCACAATAAAAAATGGACCCTAAATGAAATTTATATTTGATTTTAATTTTGCGGGCCACAAATTGATAGAATTAGGCTGTCTTCTGAATTTCATGTATTCAGTAAAATTTCTTTCATACATGGTATAAAATAATATAACTGGTTAAATTTTGGTAAATTTGAAAATTGTCTTATCATTTGGATTATATGTAAGTTATATCCATGCATTCTACTTTTCATAGAGTAGAATGTACTTCTTCTTAAAGAGCTCTTTAAATGCAAAAGTATTGTTAGCTGTCAGTTCTTCGCAGAAACATCCCATGTTTTGTGTTGTGAAAACAAACAAAGAAAAAATCTGCTATAATAGTATTTTCTGCTTAACCCATAAGAAAAACTATTATCCATGCCCATGTTTTGTTTTGGTATGCCCTTTGCTATTAAATTCCTACCTTTTTAATGCCATGAACTTGTTAAAAAATAATTTATTAGGTTCCAGGGATAGGGAAAAACTGTAGAAACAGATACTTCAGGTAGAATTTGGCATTTTTCTTGGAGTAAAACAATTCCGATTCTATTTGTTTAGTCCTGTATTTTGAACTTTGTGGATTCAATTAATCAACCAATTTTCTTTCATGAAATATGATGCCTTGCCGGGCGCGGTGGCTCAAGCCTGTAATCCCAGCACTTTGGGAGGCCGAGACGGGCGGATCACGAGGTCAGGAGTTCGAGACCATCCTGGCTAACACGGTGAAACCCCGTCTCTACTAAAAAATACAAAAAACTAGCCGGGCGAGGTGGCGGGCGCCTGTAGTCCCGGCTACTCGGGAGGCTGAGGCAGGAGAATGGCGTAAAAACCCGGGAGGCGGAGCTTGCAGTGAGCTGAGATCCGGCCACTGCACTCCAGCCTGGGCGATACAGCGAGACTCCGTCTCAAAAAAAAAAAAAAAAAGAAAAAAGAAATATGATGCCTAGAGAGGTTTTTATCTCTGAACACACCTTTTGGTTGTGGTTCCTGGGGTTCCATTGTGTTTTCATGATATTGAACAATACTTATCAATTTAAAGATTAAGTATCGGAGGTTTTGTTTATACAATCAAAAATTACTATGGCCCTATTTAATTAAGTTGAATATTGTTTATAGCTTTTAAAAAGTACTCATCTGCACATGCATCTGATTATTTTCTGCTAACAAATCATGTCATTTGATCCCTCTTCGACATCAAAGCTTAATATAAAATATATATTTTGTTTGCTTCGGTAGCATTTTAATTTCAAGCCAAATATTGTATTGTCAAATACAATATCTGGAGAGGCTAGTGCTCCACCTACCTGAACTTGGCCTCCGCAAGCACACTTTGATCAGCCATTTATGTTTCTGTTAGAGAAGAAGTTGTGTGTCTTGAAAGCTGAGATCAAAGTGACAATAAGCTACAGGGAAGAAAAAAATTACAGAAAATTACATAGATACTATTTTTTATTCAAGGTAATGGACCTGTAAGGAAAGATACAGGTGAAATAGAAGTGGTTAGAAAAGATAAACAGAGACTAGAAAGATTTTTTAATGTCATAAAAAAAGAAATAAGGGAGAAAAATTCCTACTTCTTTGTTTAATTTCAAGTGTGTCTCAAGTCATCTATTAACAGTGACCAAGGCCAAGTGAGTCTTTTTAAATAAGACATTCTTCTTGGCCTATAGTATTCTTGTTTAGTCAGGTTTATTCATTTATTTAACAGTATTAACCAAAACAAAATGGACCTATCATTTTGTAGGGTATTTCCCCTTTTGCCTAGTTCCATTATGTAGTTGGTTATATTCTGGAGTGAAATAATTCAAATGTCTCATTTACAGGAGTTTTAGAAAGCAGACTAGTAAAGTACTACTTCATCACCAATTATTGAAGCCCAGCATATTTAGCTTTAATTCTTAAACCAGACTTAAAGTTTAGGTATCATCCCCATTTCATAGATAAAACTACTGCTCAGAGAGCTTCAGTGCATTGATTAATGAATCAAAGCTAGCATATGGCAGGGTGCTGGATTCCAGGTTGGTTTCATAGAGTTCTTTGTGTTATTTATGACCTCCACCTATTTTCCCACTACCTAGCTTAAGTCTGAGTGTGCACATTGCCTGATTCAGCATTTCACAAACTAGTGTCTCAGCAGCACTGCTCACTAGAAGTTGATGGAGTCCTTGGAAAGTCCCAGTACACACTGGAATATTTAGGGCTCCGGAGACTTGGACAGCAAAGAAATATTTCTAATTTTATTTACAGCTGCTCGAAACTACAATGTGGGGTATGTTAGGAGAAATTCTTCTGCTATAACGGATGAATCACATGTTGCCCTAATATTACCTGGAGAGCATTTCTTAAGGTGTGAACGAACTACATCAGGATCATTCTAGTTTCTTGTACAAATAGAGATTCTCATGTTTCTCCAGACCCCCTGCATCATGGTCTGGGGCAGGGAAGGGGAGGCTAGAAAGAGAGAGATGTTATGAACATTGGATCCACTGCCATGACTTGACTCTGTAGGAGGGCTTCTTGACACTACAGATTTCTTAGGCTTCAAAATACAGTTAATCAAATTATGTAACACTTTCATAAAATATTATGCTACAGGTGATAGTACCTAAAAGATTCTTCTGACCATGTGGCCAGGTAGAAATCGATCTGGTTATTAGGATGGTTGTGGAAGTGCTTGAAAAACCCTGTGGGTGAGTGGTTCCACCAGAGGCTCCACCTGTGATTGTAATGCACTACCCTCCTCCTGTAAGTTTAACTTCAGGAGCTTCTGTACTACTAACTGAAAGAGTAACCAATGAAAAGTTTATTGAAGGCTCTCTCCACCAGAGTTGAACTGGGGTTCCCAAAGAACCACAAAGGTTCAGCTGACAGTTTCTGCCCTTGAGGGTTTTTCAGACTGGGGAGTTCCTAATCCCTTCCCTAAAGTTTTATGTAAAACTTGCGATTGAAGGAATGGTTTATGTAACCAGATAGTGACTCCAAGGTGAGCTCACTTTCAGAAACTATGACATACTGCTAGTTATTTGATCTCTTTGTCTCATTTTCTATCTTCAAATTTAGTTCGATAAGATTAATCATGCTAGAAAGGTAAGGCAGAAAAACAATTGTGGGTTGTTTTATAGAAGCATGTATTTGTTCCATGTGTTTGTTTAAAAACGGAAGATCTTGAGTGAAAGCAGGTTTGGAATGATATATTTCTGCTTTTGAATATAATCTATATAACAATCAGTCAGCCTTACCAACTAACCATTTAAAATAAAATGAATTTATGAATTTACTCAGTAGAAAGAGGAAACGTACTATGCGGATCATATTATACAGTGTTCCTAATTATTTAATGTTGCCAGCTTGACAATGGTACAATAGCATATATAAATACATAGTTTTGTGAATTTATCTATTATGCCATATTTGAGCTGCTTTTAGGTTAAAAAAAAAAACATTTAGAACTGATTGCTAAAAACACACCAATCTATTTTTATTTGTAATCTTCTTCAACTCTTCAAAATAATAATTGGACCAAATATGCAATCTTTTTGTGGGGACATCTGCAGAAGCCTTTGGTGTGAATTTATAAATAATTTAGAATCAATATTAGCAATGCTTTGTTTCATTGTGTCTTGCCACGCCTTTGATAAGCAGTCTCTCTCAAGAGTTGGGTTTCTCTTGATAAGTTTTAATTGTCCCTTTTTCCTTCCCTAACAATCTCTTTTACAAATAAATAAATAAATAAAGCCCCTCCAAGAGAGCTGACAGAGGAAGAAAAACAGCAGATCCTTCATTCAGAGGAATTTCTCATCTTTTTTGATCGGACAATACGGGTAATTGAAAGAGCCCTGGCTGAAGATTCCGACATCTTTTTTGACTACAGCGGCCGAGAGTTAGAAGAAAAAGATGGGTTAGTCTCTTGTGTGCATTCTTTAAAAAATAGCGTAAGTTATCTGTTAATTCTACATTTATTTATGTTCTGACTAGGAAAATTCCAAATTAAGAAATCAGAGGAGGGTGAAATTTTGGAATTTATCTTGCTGAACAGCTTTGACTCTGGGCTTTGGTGGTAACTTCTGGCTTAGAGCTTCCTTGTAATTATCATGTGCTTCTGTGAAATGCTTTTGAACTTGATATCTGGGGAACAGTCCAGGTGATAGAGACTGCAGAGTCACATGCATTATCCTCTGAGAAAACATTCTTATAAGCAGCAAAGGAGATTCATGTTGTATCTACTAGATTTATTCCTGATGTCCAAGCAAATAGTAAATTGAAGAAAATAAACATGAGGTATGGGAGAAGTTAACTCAAGTGGGTAATGATGAACAGAGACTGGAAAATGTTTCCTCTATTTGGTACCATAAAAGTATGCGTATGTGTATATGCCTTTTAGGAAACATATTAATATATGCAAGAATATATTTACAGGCAAAACAAAGCTAATCAATAAAAGCAAGTGTCCCTAAATGACTTCCTCTGTGACTGTAGCATAGGTACTGGAAAAGGCCATAACTGTCAACCATCATCATGGGGAGAATAGGAGGTACTATATGAGCCTTATAAACATAAATATAGCTGTTCTTAGCCCCAGATCTCTTCTGGCCAAGAATGATATGTGAAGGTAGGGTCTCTTGCCTTTTTCATCAGCCCTGATTTTTTTTTTTTTTTTGAGACGGAGTCTCGCTCTGTCGCCCAGGCTGGAGTGCAGTGGCCAGATCTCAGCTCACTGCAAGCTCCGCCTCCCGGGTTTACGCCATTCTCCTGCCTCAGCCTCCCGAGTAGCTGGGACTACAGGCGCCCGCCACCTCACCCAGCTAGTTTTTTGTATTTTTTAGTAGACACGGGGTTTCACCGTGTTAGCCAAGATGGTCTCGATCTCCTGACCTCGTGATCCGCCCGTCTCGGCCTCCCAAAGTGCTGGGATTACAGGGTTGAGCCACCGCGCCCGGCCCTTTTTGCCATTTCTAAAATCCAAATACATTCTTAAAGGACAATGTCTTATCATCATTGAGGATGCTCAAGGGAATGTAACAGAGGCATGAAAACCAATTTCAAAAGGGAGTCCTGAACATGTTCTCAATAGTAAGCAGCATCTTTAGACTGCCTTGAAGAGACAATAATATTTTGAATATATATGTTCTGCAATCTTTGTGTTCTTTTGAGAGGCCATTTTTCTATGACTTACTGATTTTGTTCGCCCTGTTTCCCTCTGTGTGCTGACTCCGTATTATCCTAGACTCCTGGCAGGACTTGTGTGTGTGTGTTTGTGTGTGTGTGTGTGTGTATGTATATATATATATATACACACACACACATGGCCTGAGTTTGCAATGGCATAGCTGAGGAAGGGTTAGCAGAAAAAAAAGTCATATTAGTTATACTAATTAGAGCCCAAATAACTTGTTGGAAGCCAGGTCACCCAATCTGAACAAGAGCCATGTAAGTTAAGTGATGCAGGGTGCAAGCCAGCAGTTGAAGCAAATGAACAGAGGAAAGGTGGGTGTAGAAGAATTTCTGAACCAAAGCCCAGGCAACTTAGGCAGCTTTTTATGCAGATCCCATAGTTCCTGGCCCAGAGCAAACATTACTGGATTTAAATACTCAGCTTGTGGAGCAACTGCATAACCAGCACTGAGTTCCTTGAAGGAGGTGTTATGGCCAGTTGAGTGTCAGCCAAGTAAACACTGGCTAAAGTGTAATCCTCCTAGACTCAGATGCTGTTTTGGTCCGTGGCAGAAGTGATAAGTATCTGGAACATATCTGGTGAATCCTCCACTGTCTACCACGCCTGTCTCATGGTAGAAATTATCACTTACTATTGAGTGAGGAGACTACTGGTACAGCCTATCAGTATTTACAAGTAAATAAAGACATGCATATCATTTCTGGTCTAAGGACAAATAAGGTAGTATCGATATCAAAGAATCCTTTGGTGTGCTGTGCTCCCTTGATAGCAGAGATTTCTATTAAACCCTGCTTCAGACCAGAGCCTTTCAGGGAGAGGCTCTGGCCTGAAGCAGGGTTGGAGAAAGCTTGGGACTGGTCAAGATGGGAACTTGAAACAAATCTGACATTTCATAATAGTCTTGAAAAGACATGGAAACCCTTTCTGGGCCAGGTTAGAAAAAGCTTTTCATAAAGAAGACCGTCTTTCGTTCATTTATTTTGATCAGGGTATGTAGCCTAGATTAACATTTCGGTCTCAGAGAGTATTGTGTACCAGGCTTTTGCCACATCAGTGCTTCTATATGAGCAGCATAGAGAAAGAGCTCCATATTTATCTCTGATGTTTAAATCCTCCTAGGGATGTTCAGGCTGGAGCCAATCTTTCTTTCAACCGTCAGTTCTATGATGAGCATTGGTCCAAGCATCGAGTGGTCACTTGTATGGACTGGTCCCTCCAGGTAAGAATTATTGCTGGGCTGGGACAAACTGGGCTTGTGTTCTCATGGCATTTGTACAAAAAAAAAGAGATTTGTTTACTTGCCTATGATTTCCTCTCTATGCCTGTTGGGTTTTTTTCCCCCTCATTTTATTGAGGTTTCAGTTTCAATTCTCTATTCACTTATTTGTATTTATTGAGTACATACTAGGTGCTAGGTACCAAACAGGAAGCCAGATTGTTCTGTCCATGAAACTGCTCCATTAAGATGACCACTGATTTCCTACTTGTCAAATCCTGTGGATATTTTTAAGCCCACATCTGTCCTGACCTTTCTTTGTCAAGCAGCTTAGTCAGCGTCCTTGTGCCTATAGAAATATCCTCTTTCCATTGAATTCTCACTACTGTCTCTACTCTCTCCTAGTTATCTGACTTCTCTAAGATTTCCTTTTCCTTTAACCATCCTTGAGGTCCCTGTGGTCATGCCCTCAACCACTGCTCTTCTTCCCAATGTGCTCTCTGCAGGAGATCTCTTCCACTGCTAAGGATTCAACCATGCATAGCCTGTTTGTATCTCCTGCCCAATCTCCCTGCTGAATTTCACTTTGTACACCAGACAAAGCCACTATTCTAGTTGTCCCATAGAATCTTAAATGAACTATTAACTCGTTATTTTCATATATCCCAAATCTTTTTTTACCTATTATATGATCTCTATGTTAAAGGCACCACAATATACCCAAGACCCTAAAGCAGAACTTTCATCAACATTGCCAACTTCCTCTAGTCTTCTAGACCCAGTCTGTCACAAAGACCTTCCATGTCTCCACTCATATATTCATCATCTAATACTATTCTTAACCTTCAAACTGATATTTCTACCTTCATGCTTGTCCACCTACAGTTTTCCCCTATGGAAATCTACCCAAACAATCTTTCTAAAATAAAAATCAGATCACTGGGCTGGGTGCGGTGGCTCACGCCTATAATCCCAGCACTTTGGGAGACCAAGGCGGGTGGATCTTTTGAGGTCTGGAGTTTGAGACCAGCCTGGCTAACATGGTGAAACCCCTTCTCTACTAAAAATACAAAAATTAGCCGAGTGTGGTGGTAAATGCCTGTAATCCCAGCTACTCAGAAGGCTGAGTCAGGAGAGTTGCTTAAACCCAAGAGGCAGAGGTTGCCGTGAGCCGAGATTGTGCCACTGCACTCCAGTCTGGGTGACGCAGTGAGACTCCGTCTCAAAAAAAACAAACAAACAATAAAAAACCTGATCTCTTCATTCCCTGGACCAAAACTCCCCATTACCCGTAAAAAGGAAGTTTAAGCCCATCAGTGTGGCATTCAGAGTGAAAGTAGGCAAATTTACCAAAAGCCAATTTGCCGAATAGCCACCTCAACTAGGTAACAATATACCAGGCACTGAGTAGGTAAGTAGCATATGCAAACACACAGCCTAGTGTGGTGACATCAGAATTTGAACCTAAGCATCTGATGCCTGAGCCCACATTCTTAACAACAATGTTCCTTCCTGCAATAACACTGACGTAAGAACAGTGAGAGAAGCAGGAATGATTACTCCTAAGCGCTTATGCACAACACAGTTTCTGCTTTCTTGTTATCGATGCTTTCATTGGGAATAATAGTCATAGCTAGCTTTTAATTTATTTTTCTTATATGCAAAGCACCATGACAGCTGCTGTGAAGGCTTTCTTATTTTCCCTTCATAACAATCATGTGAGGCAGCCACCCTTCCTATTTCCATGTCATATTTGAAGAAGTTGAGGCTCAGAGAAGCTAAGTAACTTGCTGAAAATCACTCAACTAGGGTATGGTATAGTGGGGATTTATACCAAAGTATTTTAGCATCCCAAGGCATATGCTCTTAACCACTGCTTCCCACAGAGACCTTCTGGATCTGAAACTAAAAGAGCTTGTAAAGGTGCAGAATGGTATGGGGCAGATAGCAAGTGCTCTCAAAGTTCAGTGAAGGTTGGAATCTGCCTCTGGTCAGACAGCGCTTCTCAGAAGACTGAGATTTAGACAAATGGAGGGGAGAAGAGGGTGTTCTAGGCAGAGCTATAAAATGGATAAGTCCCAATTAATCCTATTGAAGAACAGGGGAACAAAAGAGGGGTGTAATTCCCCATAACTAGACCCTCATCAGCCATCAAGTGGGTGAATGTTCTCTCCTCTTGAATCCCTTTTTGTATCCAAACAGCAAAGCACACAGTGCATGATCGTGCAGAGATTGAGACAAGCAGGGTTTGCCCAACCGCTTTCCGCCAGTGTGTGGGTGGTCTCTGAGCACGCTTGAGTGTGTGCACAGAAATCAGATCCAAGCCTGAGGAAGCACTTAGCTCAGCTTGTTCACTTGTTCAGAGTCGGGGAATTACACAGGAACCTTATCTGACACATTCCTCAAAGGCAACTACAACCTTGTTCTCGGGTCAGCTGATAACACTCCCTGAGGAGACATGGGGTGAGGCTGGTCCCTGCCTTGCCTCAGTAGGTGATGGGCCACATTGCCCGTGGATGTGTTTCCACATAGGGTCTTGCATGATGTTTGTGTTGGAGGAAGTAAGTTGGAAATAACAGAAACTCTACCATGGAGAGACCACATTTATTTTTCCCCTATTTTTGTGTGACCTACCCACCTACGCTGTGGGGGAAATGTTTGCAATTTTGAAAAATGCATTGTATATGAGGCACAAGAAAAAGAGATTAGAATGCTCAGCTCCTACATCACAACACTTCTGTGGGGTTCAAAGGACCAGGATTACATACTTATGGATAAAGAGACTTTTTGATGGATTTAGATGCAATCCAATGATATTAAGAAAGAAGAGAGATAGAGAAACAGTCTTGGTGTGTAGTGGTGGCATGTATGTCTAGGATGATTTCCTGAATGTAACAGAATAGAACTGAGGGGAGAAAAAGGAAGAAATTATAAGGTTTCAGCATAGCTTTTTTTTTTAATCTCCTGGGCTTCTTAAACCAGAACACTTTAACTTTGAAATATTTACAAAACATCATCAAACATCATTCCTTGGAAGAAATCTGAGAACCTGGAGGATTATGTCAACTTTGTCACCCACTGAACATTATTTAGCACAGTGAGTCAATAATATTATCACACACCATGTGACAGAGTTTTCAGATGTGTGCAGAATCAGACTCATGATCTTACTCCCACCATGTATACTCACTTCCTCTCACATGTAAATTGCATCTTCCACTCCTGCCATCATCCAGGATGCAAACCTGAGTAATCTTTGGCAGTTCAGTTAGTTGCTAAATCCAATCAAATTTACAATAGCAAAAAATTACTATTGACAGCAATGCAAATCCACGAACATGGATTTGACACCTACTTTATGTCATGCTCTCTACTTCTTGCTTATGTTAGGAAACAGCTTCTTACTGGTCTCCCTAATGTCAGTCTCTATAATGTTAAGTCAGTATAAGTACTTTTACCAGATTAATCTTTATAAAGATTACTTATACACTCTGTATCAACTTGGGCAAGTTGCCTAACTTCTCTTGGCTTAAGTTTCTTCATTCATGAAATGATGATAATAATATCTAGCTCACACATCTATTGTGAGTATTAAATGAATTAATGTATATAAAGGAATGATAATTTGGCTGGACACAGTGGCTTACACCTGTAATCCCAACACTTTAGGCGCCACGGCAGGAGGATCACTTGAGCCCAGGAGTTCAAGACGGCCTGGGCAACATAGAAAAACCCCGTCTCTACAAAAAATACAAATATTGGCGAGGCATGGTAGTGCATGCCTGCAGTCCCAGCTACTTGGGAGGCCGAGGTGGGAGGATTGCTTGAGCCTGGAGGCAGAGGTTGCAATGAGCTAAGATCTCATCACTGCATTCAAGGCTGGGAGACAGATCAAGATCCTGTCTTAAAATAAAATAAAAATAAAGGACTGATAATTGTAAAAGTGTCTGGTGCATAAGAAGCACTCAATAAATGTGACATAGTAGTGAGAAAAGCAGTAGCAGTATTATCATTAGCTGCAAAGTATGACTCCTATTTTGTCCCCCAGAATAAAATCGAAAATCATTAGCCTGTACTCAGTGACTTCCGTGATGATGTCTTGAGCCATTTCCAGGCCTTTCTTCTTTTATATAGCTTGATATAGCCTGCCTCCTAGCCACATAGTAATACTACAACCTGATGTCTATTGGACATATTCTTCTTCACTGTATTGGTCAAAAAGACTACCTGTGGCTACGTTAAGTAGACAGAGGAATTTACTGGGGAGTCATTATAGTAGTTAGAGAATCCATGAAAAAGATGAAGAACCAAAACTTAGAAATAGTAGGAATCTGGGCAGCTTGAGGGACCTCACCAATAAGCTGCTGTCCTTATCCAGACCCCTTTGCCAGCTCCCGGGTCCTGTGTCTCAGTTCAAAGTTTACAATATTCTAGTTAGAGAATGCGATTGGCTCAGCTGGGTCAAATATCAACCCTGCAATTAATTATCCCTGGGAATTTAGGCTTCTATTTACTGGGGTAATCTCCAAAGAGAGATTCACATGAACCAGGCAGATACCAAGAGGGGTCTCCTGCACCCCTCTTCGGACTCTTGTCCCTACTGTCATCTGTCCTAATAACCTACCCACTTGACAAGGCTCAAGGTCTCATTTCTTCTCAGAAATCCCTTTCAATTTCTCTTACTGCCACACCCCACACCAGCTTCCATGCTTATTTATTTATTTATGTTTGAGATGGAATCTCACTCTGTTGCCCTAGCCGGAGTGCAGTGGCATGATCTCCCCTTACTGCAACCTCCACCTTCTGGGTTCAAGCGTTCTCGTGCCTCCCCATCCGGAGTAGCTGGGATTACAGGAGCGAGCCACTAGGGCTGGTTAATTTTTGTATTTTTAGTAGAGACATGGTTTCACCCTGTTAGCCAGGCTGGTCTTGAACTCCTGACTTTAGGTGATCCGCCCTCCTCGACCTCCCAAAGTGCTGGGATTACAGGCGTGAGTCAGCATGCCTGGCCCCATGCTTCTGCAGAACCTTGCTTCTGCCTCTATCTTAGCACATGTCATGGTCTGCTTTTGTATTTGTCTTGTAGTTATTTCTACAGGTGTCTTACCTCCCTCCACCTAATGATAAGTTCCTATAGAGAAAAGCCGTTATTCAGGGCATCCATGTCACGTATTTTACCTGTCATGGTGCCTTACATATTTATAGGGGACACTTGAGGCATGCCACAGTGGACAGGAAAGGACAAAGCTTTTGAAACCCAACAGACTTCAAGTGGGGTTCTTGCTTTATCACTTATTAGCAACAAAGCTTGGAATATGTTATTTAACCCAGGCTCTGGGTTTCTTTGTCTGTGGAAACGAGTAAACCATTGCCTACCTTAGAGGGTTATGAGGACCAAATGAATTAACATATCAGTGTCTGGTACCTAACGGGCACTTAAAACATGATGGTTCCTTCCTTTCCAGTAAATGCTAGTTTTTGTTGTTGTTGTTGTTGTTGTTGTTTGACAGAGTCTTACTGTGTCACCCAGGCTGGAGTGCAGTGGTGCACTCTCAGCTCACTGCAACCTCCACCTCCTGTGTTCAAGCGATTCTCCTGCCTCAGCCTCCTGAGTAGTTGGGATTACAGACACACACCACCACGCCTGGCTAATTTTTGTATTTTTAGTAGAGAAGGGGTTTCACCATGTTGGCAAGGCTGTTCTCAAACTCCTGACCTCAAGTGATCTGCCAGCTTCAGCCTCCCAGAGTGTTGGGATTACAGGCATGAGCCACTGCGCTTCCCCAGGTTTCATTTAGTTGTTAGAAAAAATGGGCTTGAAAGCGTATCTGGTAATTTCCAGGTAAAATTCTCCTAGAGTAAATATTGGATAATTCAGCCCTATGGGTAACCAAATGATCATGAGTTTAGTAATTCTTTATATTCTCTTTAAAATCATAATTTTGAACAACATTTAAGATTAAATAATGGTTTAGCGATTTTTACTGGAAAAAGAAAATATAAGTAGTCATGTTCAAACAAACAGTGGAAAAAGACATACTAGAGGGCACCTTGAAATCCCAAAAACTTGCATGAGATAAAATTTAAATCAGTATCTTTAGGCCTTACGATCTCAGTTATAGAAATTATGCCAATGGCATTTCACTGATAAGTTTACTAAAGCACTCCCTGTTTTCTAAAGGAGTTTTAAAACTAAATAATTTTAAATATTTTTAAGTGGAAAAAGAAAAGCTGCAAGTGGGTGCCAACAATGAGACCCAGCTGGGTGATATTATTGCAGAAGCATCTGGCCGCTCCTTGGCCCCTGTGGTAGTGGTGTTGATGTTTATAGAGTTGCCTTTTCACATGTGACATAGTTAAACTTCAGATGGACAGTCTGGAGACTTCTGTGTTTATCTGGATGTTAGTTTCTTTGAATGGGCTTTGAATCAAAGGCCTTTCTTAATAGGCCTTTGATTTATCCGCTGAGGAGCGTTTTTTAATAAAGAATGATTACTTCCCCTGGTGGCCACATACATGTGTATCACTGTATGCTTATACTTCCTCTGCACAACCAGCAAGTTGTAACTCTCTGCAGCTTTCTTTAGTTGAGGCTGCTGGAAGAATGAATAAGACTTAGATTTAGTTATTTTTAATACAAAAAAAAGATCCGTGTTCAAATTCATAAAGACAATCTTCCATAAAATATATGTATAGAATAATGAAAAAGGAAAAAAATAAATTATAAGAAGAGAGTGATATGATCTGCTATAATCCTGATGCTGTATTTTATAGGGCTGCCTTCTGAGACTTCTGTGTAGTAATGACATTTTCATGAAATGTGTCCTAACTCATAAGAACTTCCTATGAGATTTGTCCTTAGTTTATTTAATAACACTCAGGACAGAGTTGATGTAGGGTGTGTAGGTCTTTCTCATACCTAGAATCACTACAGAGTCTTTCTTGTTATTTTACTGGGTATGCTTCTTGCATTTAAGCCTTTAATTATTAGCTTGGTTTGACAACAAAGGATGAAATAAAAAGCCTTTCTATTGAGCACATAATTACTAAAATTAAAAATTTTAAATAATTAAAGAAACTTTGACACAAGTTTATTATGTGCTAGGAATTGACCCTGGATTCAGAGGTCAGTAAAAACCAGTCCCTACACTCAAAGAGCTTACAATCTAGTGACAAGACATAGGTATAGAAAAAAAATTATAATGCATTTGACATGTGCTTTCATTGGCAGGGCGGACACATAATACTAAGGGAGTTGATAATAGGTGAGGAAGGAAGTGGTTGGTTAAGTCAGGATTGTCTGGAGGACTTGATGCCTGTGTTGAGTCTTAAAGGATGAGTTAATAATGTAAACAACACAGAAGAGGCATCCCAGTGAGAGTGAGTATGAGACTTATAGGTACATAGATGTACCTGTGTGCCTCAAAACTAGTCCAGTGAGGCTGGGTCATAGGGTGTGGGAGGTGGGGAGAAAGAGGGAAGGTTGTAGGAGAGTAAGCAGGGAAGGCAGAAAATGACAGATTATTAAGGATCCTATGTGACCTGCATCTTGCCTTGAAAGTAATGATGAGCCATTAAAGTATTTTAAGCTGAGAAATTACTTAGCCAAATGTATATTTTGTATAGTCTTCCTGATAAAGGATGAAGAATGGAGTAGGTCAGTGTAGGAAGCCATTTATGAAACTGTTGCCTTCATCCAGATAAGAAATTAAGTTAGCAGGCTCTGACCTTAAAGATAGAAAGAAAATATTCATTTGAAAGGTATTGAGGAATTAGGGAAATTTAGTAAATGGGAGTGAGAGAGAGAAAGAAGTAAAAATAAATGTAGAACAGCTGGCCTGGGCCAGGCACATGTTAGTGTAAGACGCTAAAATAGGGAACACGGAGGAGCCGTAGGTTTCGTGTGGAAGTCAATGAGCTCATTTTTCTATGTGTTGCAAGTGATGTGTCTATGGGCAACCCTGAGCAATCCCCACTATGAAATGAAATCTGCATTTCAGAGAGAAATTAAGCCTAGAGATATAGATTTGAAAATTACCAGCATGTTAAGCTTACTAAAGCCACTAGAGTAGATGAACTTACTCAGGGAGAACAGGCCTCCTTGGAATATATGTAATAGAAGGAGAACCTGCAGGAACTGAAATGAGAAGTCAGGGAAGAAAATCAGGAGAGAAAGATGCAATGGAAGCCAATACTGGAGCAGGAAGGGAGTAGCACAAAGTGTCAAATAATACAGAGAGGTAAAGCGATGTTCGTAGTTTGATAGTTACCGGAGGATATGACAAGCACATACAGAGTGTTGGAGGCAGAAGAAAGATTGCAGGAGGTTGCAGCAGTAAGCTGATAGTAGGTATGCCAGAACATAACAGAAAGCGCCATTTACACTATGCAGTATACCACGTATACATAGGAATAACGAAGTTTTCCTTGTGTTGTCATCTTAGCATAATTCATCTTTGTGACCTCTTCCATTTAGTATCCTGAGCTGATGGTGGCTTCTTACAACAACAATGAAGATGCTCCCCATGAACCAGATGGAGTGGCCTTGGTTTGGAACATGAAGTTTAAGAAAACCACACCAGAATACGTCTTCCACTGTCAGGTAGGAGTCAGCGTAGTAAAAATAACTTACATCTCCTGCTAGGCCAAATATAGTTTGTGCTGTATTGCATCTGTCTTATGCTGAGAGGAAGAACTCAGTTTAAAAATGAAATTGTTGACAATTTTGGAAAATTTACCCACAGTAACCTAATGTTTTGGGAAAGTGGCAACCTCCCCCCCCGCCGCCCCCGCCTGAAACAGTTAGGAAGCTTGGCTGGGGACTGTGTGCCACTTTCTTTCTATTTAAAACAGCCCCCATGAGGATGAGTTTATAAAGACCTCGCACTTATGAAGAAATCGTGGTGTACCACTTCCTCTGCTTAAAAGCAACATATGCTTGCCCACCCACGTGGACATCCTCAGAGCACTACCATTTCAAGTCTCCTACTCTCTTGGAAATGCAGTTCAATGGATTTTGCCGATTTTAAGTTTATGGGCGCCATATTGCTTAACAGATAATACTTTTGTAGCCGGCGTGGGGCAAGACTTACCACCCATATTTCTTGAGTTACTTGGAAATACAGATGCTGTTTCTGGTTTGAAAATGCAGAGCTAATTTCAAATATGTTTGTATTTTTCATTCCTTCTCCCTGCGGACACGTCTTCTCTTCCACTTGACACAATACAGGCGAAATTATGGTACCCTTGGACACGTTCAGCATTGCTCCGTTGCCATGACTCTGCCTAAATAATAGGCCTCAGCATAGGCCAATACACCAACCCTTTTATTAATGCTCCTATCCTGTGATTATGCACAGGCAAATAAAAAACAAACATTTCAGCTCAAAATTGCAGTTTCTCAAATGTTACAATTCAGAGGTACTGAGCGGCAGATTACTCTGAATACAAATACATCATTTGAAAAGGGTGGGTAAACCTGTTGATTTTTGGAAGCTTAGTGCCATTTTCTATCTAAGAGCCAAGTATCTTTTTGAACTAAAATATGTTTAGACTTTAGTGCATTATCAGATATAATTTGGGGAATAGGAGCTGCTGGAATAGAGTCCCAGCCTCAACCTGATTGAGTAACTTCTAACACTGGACATGTTTTTCTAATTTGCTATCTCAAAAACAACTTAACAAGAAGTCTAGGTCTGTAAGGTAAATAACCTTTATTTTCTGAGCCTTTGAAATAAGAACGGTTCTTTCTTTTTCTTTTTTTTTTTTTTTTTTAAGATTTTCAAGTCAGCTTGATATGCTCCTTCTGTAATCATAGAAGCACAAAATCCTAATTTTGTTCAGTTTTACAAGGTTTGCTAAATTCCCAGGAAAATACTGTGAGGGTTAAGAAATAAAGAAAAGCACATTTTTGAAAAACAGTGCCTTTTATTTTGATATTACAGGAAGTGTATCTTTGATTTAAAAAATCTAACAATAATACATTATTGTAATCAATATGTATGATCTTTATTATGATTTTTAAATTTTAATTATATTAACTGACTAAAGGTTTTAGGAATCAACTGTAAATTACTTGTTTTGCCACATGACAATAGTTAATACTAGTATTAATTGAAAGGGCATTCGTGTGTGTGTGTGTGTGTGTATCTTTGGAACCATTGACTAAACATTTCTCCATACAACTTTTTTTTTAGTTACTCCCTTAATGATCCAATATATGTCATTGAGAAGAAAATACACTCATGATTTCATAAAAAGCAAGAGTTACCCTAAATATAGTAACAAGGTAGTCATACCAGAGTTACCAAAAGATGCTGAGTAAAATAGTTGATTCCAAAAACTTGTAGTCAGCACTTTGATACACATGATACTTATGAAGTTGGGATAAAGGCCAGATAAATATCACTGGCTGCCAAAGAAAAACAAAATTGCTATGATATTTAGTATTTCTGAACTGTTGGGAGATCAAATCAGGAAACATTCAGCAGCCAGGGAAGTCCTAGATAAAACAGTGATGGAGGTTAGGTAGACGGATAAGATAATAAAGGCAATTTGGTTACCGTTGTACTAAAGTGTGATACCTGTAGCAATATCTACGTGTTTCTGCATTTTAAATTTTCCCAACACTTCTGCCTTCATGATCTCATTGATTGTACAACAGGGAGGTAGGAAAAATGTTATTATTCTCTTTTTCCAGTTGAGAGATTTTATACTTTAGAGGTTACCCAGCTAGTGAACAGTAGAGCCAGTCCTGGAACTGAGGCTTATTCTATCGCATACGTCGTGCCATCACCCAGGCTGCCTTCTAAAAACGTGAGCAGACATGGGACTTGATAGCAAAGACTGTACAGCCCATTCAAGGTATATTTTTGGCCATGTACTCTTATAAGGTATTGATTAGACATGGTTCTAGACATGGCTATCTTTACCACCTTCTAACCCTAAATGGAAATTTAGAGATCCCACAGAATTAAAATATATATGTGGAAAAACCAAAGCCCTCACTCACTGACCTGTAACTTTCCTTCTATGTCCTATCTGATCTTTGCTAAATCTTATTACAACTGGTCCTTTCTAGACACTAACTCAGGGAAATCAGGTCTTTTGAACGTGCTTCCACATTCTGCTGTGATGTTCTGATAATTTCAAAACTAGACAATACATTACTTAGAAAAAGGGCAGAGGTAGAGAGTAGCAAGAGTACCTTATGATGACTGTACTTTTATAATTTTGGAGTAATTGCATTAGCTATTCATTTCCTGCTGATCTCTGCTGATTCTTCATATTTTTTAAAAGTGTATAATTGTAAATAAAACTAATGGATCAGAAAAGCATTGTTTCAGTCAGTGGAAAGCAAATGCACAAGAAACAGACATCAGCTCCATGGTGTTTTGTAAAGACTGACAAGCTTTTAGCCTACTCATAAAAAGATTTTAGTATACAGTTTCATTTCTCTCTGTTATGGATAGCAAGGCCAAAATATATCTTCTACTGTCACGGGCAGTTTTGGTGTCTTTACTAAACTGAATTTTTAGTATGAGCTCTGGTCCTGCATTTTCTATTTTTATTTCAATAAAAACTGTCTATACTTGGAAAATATTGGTGGACCCTGCATAGAAATCAGCCACTCAACCTCATAGCACACTCTGGCAGTGCTCCTGCTGTCTTCTGTAGTGGCTTCCACACACTGTCATTAGATTATGTGTCTGACCACCCTGCATTGCTTACCCTGGTGTGGTCTTTCTCTTTTAAATGGAATGAATAGAATCAGAAATATATACCTTAGAATTATCTGCATTGAGGTAAATGGAAAAGCTATGTTTAGAGTCTTAGCTTGGTCAGAGGTTTTTATTTTTACTTTTACTTTTTCCTGATTTGGTTACTTTGTTCTTGGCAATCTCTTTTAGAGGGGGATCTGACAATGACCTGAAACTGACAATGACCTGAAACCCTCGCGATTTCAGGGCAAAGCAGAATGCGAAGTAGGTAATATCAGCTAACCTCATTTGTGTCAGTGTTTAAAGCCCTCAGTCTTTATTCCTACATGGGCTTCACTTCCCATTAAGATTCTATAAAGGGTGCAGATGTCATTGCTGCACACGGCCTCAGCTGCCCAGTGTTTGATTCTGTATGAGGTTCCTGCTAACCTCAAAGAGAGTTCCACCTGTGAAGAGTGACGGTAACATAGGAGGGAGTATGGACTGGTGGTTAGGACAGGGACAGAAAGTTAGGACTTGGAGTTCCATTCCTAGCTGACCACACTGCTGAGTGACCCTGGGTGAGTCATGGGGGCTTTATTGTTGTCTTTCCTGATCCCGTGCAAAGAAGACTTTCTCTAGTCTCTAGTGTAATTGTAAAGTTTATTTCAATAAACCTCTTTTCTTCCTCCATCAATTTTTGTCCCTCCTCCAACCCAGTTGTGGTCTGCAATTCAAATCTACAAAACAGCTGTGAATGCAAAGATGTAAATTAATTGACATTAATTTTATAAAGTATATTTTGACCAGAGAAGTGTTAAAATCTCCTTAAGGATTTTTATTTATTTTTTTAAATGAAAAGAAGAGTAACTTGCTTATGGCCCAGCTGATAAAAAGAAAAAGGCATCTTATAAGCTTTTCTCTTGCCTAGGCTAAGAAGTGGTGATTACAGATCAAAAAAGAGAAATGGATAAAAGAATAGAAAGTTCTTTGACAATTACTGCTTCATATTTAGTATGAATTCCTGGGATTCAAAATGAAAGCACATAGTAGGTGCTTTATAATTGCCAGATAAACTCCATGGCTAAGAATATGAAAACCAGAGTGAGACCTAAACAGTTTTCAAATGTGATATTCAAAGTACCTCAGGATGGGAAAACAGAATAGGAAACCTCAACCAGTGTAACATAGATTATCATACACATTTTGAAGAATAAAATCATGGAAAATTTAAATTTACTTTTGACATAAAGTTAAAATTAAACTCTTACGTAAAAGATACAACTTACATGGATCAGACCAGAGAAATAGTGCCACAACATTGCTACTTTGTGCCTTTCAGAAAAGACATAAGGGAATATCAGTGTACATGCCAAAATGAAATGCAGACATCCCAAAACACTTCTTTTCTGCCAATTGAGTATGACCGATCTGATGAGCTAGACACTGATTCTTATTAAATCAAACAGCAGGAATTTCATTTTGCTTTGACCAGGAAGCTGGAAGCAGAAAACCTGCCTCTCTGGCTTTCTTTCTTTATCTACCCTCCTCTAGAGTCTTCTCCAAAAAGCAACTCATGAAGAAGCAGAAGTGATCATTGGGACCCATCTAGGGATGTTAGAATTATCAGCTGGATTCTAGCAAAGAGATCGTATTCTAGGTGATTCCTCATCTGAAAACAGCAATGACGGAGATTATTTCTATGCCAAGTGAGCTATTTGATGCAGAGGATGCCATAAGAATACACCTTTAAACAAGTTGTTTTAAAATCGTTTTATTTGTCTTGCCATGTCACATTGCAAATGATCAAGCTAGAGTTTCAGATCATTACAAAAACTGAGCCTCTTACTAGCATTTGCTGCATCCCATTAATGTGCACACATGTTGTCAACACAGAACTCCA